ATAAACAAGAAATTTAGATTCTTGCAATACTTTTCTATCAGATAATATTTTGAAAGTGATATCCAAGAATGTCATCTTGGGAAAAAGAGCATTTCCTTTTCTCTTGCAAAATCTAATCTATTTAATACCACTGAGTTTATTCAACCTACACCAAAAATGTAAAAGCTTATTACCTAATTAATAACTGCTAAATTCATTAAGTTTGTGTTCCAAAACTGATAAGTAGGTGGAAAAAGATTGTGTGGTATGTTTTACTGGAAAAATTTGGATTTAGTTATGAGAATTCATAATACTTTTTCTATAGTCATACCATAACAACATTAGTACTACTTTGGAATCTTCCAAATACATCAAAGCCCCTCATTGTAAATTGGACCTTTCTTTCTGGACAGTACTGTATCACATGTTGAACTATGTAGCAACCCCCAATGTGAACTGCAAATACAGTTGACTCTTGAACAATAAGGTTAGAACTGCTCGGGTCCACTCACCTAAAGATTTTTTTTAATATGTATATTGTAAAACATTTTTGGAGATTTGTGACAATTTGAAAAAATTCTCAGATGGACCTGATGCTTTTCTTAATAATGTTTTCTCTAGCTTACTTTATTGTAAGAATATGGTAAATAATGTAAGAGGTCTGTCCAGAAAAACTCCAACCATTGTTAATAGAACCAGAATGGTTTGCATGACATCACTGTAACCTGACAGCCAAGAAGAGTGGAATGCGCATGCGTGAACAATGATGACTTCACTATACTAGTTAGTAGGGGCAGTAGATGCCCTTGAGTAAGCATGTGTACTATGTGTCTATTGTACTCAAAATGACTGAGTGAGTAGAGCAACAAATCTGCAACCAATTTTGCATTAAGCTTGAACAATCTTCCATGGAAACTATTCAGATGATTCAAAAGGACACAACTATAGGCAACTGGTGATTGGCAGCTTCATCACAACAACGTACCCACTCATGCATCACGTCCTGTGCAGAGTTCTTTGGTGAAACATCAAATCACTCAGGTGATTCAGCCCCACTACAGCCCAGATTTGGCACCCTGCAACTTCTGGCTTTTACCAAAACTAAAATCATCTTTGAAAGGGAAGAGATTTCAGACTGTCTGATAAGATTCAGGATAATACAATGGGCCTGCCGATGGCAATTGAGAGAACTGCGTGAGGTCCCGAGGTGCCTACTTTGAATGGGACTGAGTCATCATTGTCCTGTGTACAGTATTCCTTGTATATTGTATTTCTTCAATAATTGTCTTTTTTTCATAATACATGGCTGGATACCTTTTGGTCAGACCCCACTGTATAACACACAAAATATGTGTTCATCAGCCGTTTATGTTATCAGTAAAGCTTTTGGTCAACAGTAAGCTATTAATAGTTAAGTTTTAGGGGAGTCAAAAGTTATACATGGATTTTCAACTGTAAGGGGGTTGCTGCTCCTATCCCCAGCAATATTCAAGGGTCTACTGTAGTCAGATCCTGATGTAACCTGTTTAACTTTTGGATGTCTTCAGGTATAGCATGTTTGCCATGTTTCAGGCCTTCTGGGACTGAAAACAGCCCTCCAGAGCACAAGGGAGAGAGAAGGTAACCTATCCCACCTCCGGAGACCTGGTGTCATGCAAATATTTCCTCACTTAGGAGATAGAGGCAGTATGTTCTGGCATATTGAAGCCCTAAAGCACATTCTCCACCCAGATGTCTGGTAAATTTGAACAAAAATAGCACTGGGGGGGTTTACTTATTTTGCTAAAGTTACTTCGGGATTCCCCAGATGCTGTTTGAAGGCTGGAGGCAGGCTACTTTTACGAAGGGAAAAGGGATGATAGTGAAAAGGAAGTTGTTTGCACATTTATGCTAGGAGTTGTGCAGAGAGGAAAGAGGGTGTACATGGAGAGGGATGCACTGTTTCCCGGCCCAGATCCTCTTATTGATGCTGAATCCTATGAAAAGAAGTAGACCAGGATGCCAGCTGAATGAGCTGTTTTCATGGTAGCCTCTGTGCCACACGGTGGGGCAGACAGGTCATTCTCCATGTTTCATTGAGGATCATGGCACAGCTCTGGTGCAGGAAGCAGTGAGAAAACAGCTCCATTCCGGGATCCCAAGGATTTTGCAGTTTGGAGGGCACTCTGGGCTGGAAAGTGTATCAACATCCAAGATACTTAACAAGATACCACCCTCCAAAGGTTTCATGGGCCAGAGGCATCCACAAGGAGACTAGAACTGCCCGTGAGAGGAAAGTTAATGGATTTAAGTGAGAAGTCTCTGAGCATCCCAGAAGCACAGCTACTGCATATGGTTGTACTGCCTGTGCTGTTGGCGCTCTGCACAAGGACACCTGGCTGAGGGAAGCACCAAGGTGCTGACACCCTGCCCACGCTCTACTTGTGAAGCCATGAACCCTGGCTGAGGACTGTATCAGCCCTCTAGAAGAAGTGGCTTTTTCTAAAAGGGGTATCTTTGTCTAATCCACTAAAAAATTGTTTTGTTTTGTCTGGTTGGTTGGTTTTTGTTTTTTGTAATTTGTCGGCCAGAACGAGGTTGATTTTTTGTGCCAAAGTGGGGTTCTCTCAGAAGTAAGTAGGGAAGAGCATAAATGCAGGGTGGGGTACTGAAGTCCTGCATTTTCCAAGAGGGAGAAACAAGCTTGAACTAATGTCACCGTGACCTCATTTGTTTCCAGAGCCTAGTGGGTGTTGACTAATGAAGAAGCTGTGAGTAAAGATGGTAAGTGTAGACAACTCATTCGAAAGCTGGCTGTAAAAAGAAGAGGCATGTAACCATTGCCAGAGGGCTTCTAAAAGATGGAAGAGATCTGTGCATTTTTATTTGCTGTAGAGAACATAAAAACAAACGTGGGGGAAAAAACTATACAAAGTGTGTATTTGTTATGGATTGCTGTGTCACACTAACCCTAAAACTGAGTGACTTCAACCAACCGTATTATTTATTATCTTTCCTGGTTTACAAGAGCTGGGAATACAGGGAGGGCACGGTGGGAATGGTCTGTTTCTGCTCCGTGGTGTTGCTTCAGCTGGAAGACTCGAAGGCTGGGAGGCTAAACTATCCAATGTGACAGCCATTAGCCAGATGTAGTTCTTAAATTTAAATTATCTAAAGTTCAATAAAACTTGAAATTTAGTCCCTCAGACTCATGTGTGGTAAGTTATCACATTAGACAGCACAAACAGGAAATTTCTATGATCACAGAAAGTCCTACAAGGATCTGCTCTGGAGGCTTGTCCAGTGGTTGATACGAGCTGTTAGCTGGAATCTTAGATGAGGCTGTCAGTTGGGATTTTTATGTGTGTTCTCTCCTTGTTTGGGCTTCCTCACAACATGGTGGCTGGGTTCCAAAAGCAAGTGCAGAGAGAGACAGAGACAGAGAAGCAGGTCGACACATTGCCTTTTATATGCCAGGCTCACTCCCACCGCTTTGTTAGTCAAGGCAGTTACAAAGGTTTGTCTGCGTTCAAGGGGAGGGATCACCGCTCAGCAGGAGAATAGCAGCATCACACCATGAGGAGATCAGGTGGAACGAGATACACACTGCTGTGGCCATATTCAGAAAACTGAAGATGAAATCTGCCTCAGAAAGGTTATGTTCCCTGCATATTTTTCTACTAATCAGATTAGTGAAGGAGTTGATTATTCAGTGGTCACAATGCATCATTGAAAACATGCCTGCTGACACAGCTTCTTAAAAACTACAAATACTACCTGGCCACAAGGAAAAATGTGAGACAACATACAGAAGAACACCAGATAATAGCACACCTTGATTATAAAGATAGAAATACCTGTTTGCACACTTTACTTTTATTAAGATGGTTAGGTGTGAAACATAAAAAATATAGTTAGTTTTTGCTTGCCAAGTGTTCCATAAATGTAACTTCATAAGGAAATTTTTAAAGTACTTCTACTTTTATTAGAATAAATTGCATAATAATTTTGTCAAGAAACTCAACCAGGATGAAAGCACCTTAAAACATAATAAATACAACTAGGTGAACTGAACCTAGTTCAGATATATATATACACACAATCTGGATTTATTGTGTTATATATATATATAATCTTATACTTAAAAGCAGTAATCAAACCAATTAATAAACATTTTTAAAACAAGAGATTACTGAATACCAACCAATAGGGCTTTACAATGAGAACTGCTCATTCCGATTTATCTAATCTAATGTTGAGTGACAGAGTTGGTTGACCAGAAAAAAACATTGATGTAATATTGTCTTACCTTTATTTTACCAAGGCTTTTCATTTCTGCCAGGTGAAGAATATTCATCAACAGCCTGAGAAAATGACTTACACTACATAGCTAAAAAACTATAAAAAGATTTCTCAAAAATGTGCTTTTGGGGTGTAGAAGGAAGTGGATGGAGGGTCATAGAAGTGATGGTGCAAACCTCTCAAAGTCCTTTCAACCATATCAACCTATTAAGATTTTCTAAATGAGCCAGTAAAAGACATTTCTCTCTCATGTTTAAAATATACATGCTGATGAATTTGTCTATGTCACAACACACTTGATAAACAATCTTGAGGATTATCAAAAGCCAAACGTCTCCCAAGACGTGTTTAAATTGATTGGCCCCAATGCAGGGTGTTTTGGGGTTTTTTTAGGTATTGTTGACATATAGCATTTACTAGTTACAGGTGAACAATATAATAATTAAACATTTGTATAGATCTCAATAGGTATAGTTACCATCTATCACCATACAAAGTTACAAATTTACTTTTTCTTACAATGAGAACTTGCAAGATTTACTCTCTCTAGCAGCTTTCAAATATGCAATGCAGTGATGTTATCTATAGTCACCATGCTGCACATCACATCCCCAGGACATGTCCATTTTATGACTGGCAGTTTGTACCTCTGGACCCCCTTTACCCATTTCACCCCTCCAAACCTCGCTGACCTCAGGCAACAACAAATATGTTCTCTGAATCAGTTTTATATTGTTTTGATTGTTCACTTGTTCTGTTTTTTAGATTCTACATGTAAATGAAATCATACAGTATTCACCTTTCTCTGTCTGACTTATTTCACTTAGCATAATACTCTCTTGTCACAAATGGTAAGATTTTACTCTGTTTATGGCTGAGTAATATTCCATTGTATATATTTACCACATCATTTTGTTATCCATTCATCCATCAATGGCCACTTAGGTTGTTTTCATCTCTTGGCTTTTGTAAATAATGTGGCAATGAACATGGGGGGGTGCAGATACCTTTTTGAATTAGTGTCTTCATTTTCTTTAAATACCCAGAAGTGAAATTGCTGGGTCATATGGCAATCCTGTTTTCATTTTATTTTAGGAACCTCCATACCGTATTCTCCAATGCAGTTTTATACTCACACACTGTGTATTTAATCACTGTTCACTTCAATGGCATCTGTCTTCAGTACCGTTCAAATGGCATCATTTTCAACATCATGACTTAAATCATATTTTAAATACATATATTTAAGTTTCCATTCAGTAAGGAATCCACATTTTCTCATTTTTAACACTGTTTATTACACATACCACAACGTTGTTTAATTAAGAGAGCTGCTAAACTTTGCTTAATTGTGGTTGCACCCTATGACTCATCAGCTTTTTTTTCCCTATTTTAAATTCAGTTCAACAACATCTGGTAGCTTATACAAGGAGAGAGGATGTTCTTTACAATCCATGATTTTTCTGGACAACATGTTTCTGCAGTTGGCAGACTTCCATTTTTCTCTTAGTTGCTTTCTTCATGTAGTCCAATTTAGGCATCTTATTTTTTTTCCTAAATATGTGTAATTACCATCAGTCATGTGCTGGAATTTGGTCTAATCTCGCATAATAAACTTCATAATAATTGGTTCCTAAATCTCTTTTATTAATATCTTCTGAGTTGGTCCAACCTTGAAAAGGGAAAATGAGGAATAATTGTGAATTAATTAGAAGACAGCAAAAATATCAGCCATGTACAATTTACATGCAGAGTAGCATTTCTTTTAGGGAATTTTTATTATGAAATCTTTTTAGTCTCTTTGATAAGCATTAACAAGAAGATAAGGATCAGATGTTGCAAAATGTATCTCTAGATACTATTTTTCCCTACCCAGATGTTTTTCACATCCTTTCTGACTCACAGTCCTTCAGACAAAGATAAACTATGCCTGATAGTCACACTACTGAAGGTTCTTGAAATATGTCCCTGGGTTTTTAAATATTTCTGCTTTAGTCTGGTCTTCTTTTATCTTGGAAATGAGAATGGGGGAAATAGTCTTGTTCTCTCCAACAGGAATTACATTCACTTAAATAAGATTCTTTGAAATTTTTCTACTACTGTTTCCTCAAGCAGAAAAAAACACAACATTAGCTCCAGCTATTTACCCTCCATCTGTTTGCATTTGCATTTTGCTGAGGAAAAAGAAGGACTTCGGGAGTTTAAAAACGCACTGTGATCAAACTGGGCAGACAACAAGATAATAATTGACTCCAGATACTTAAGAGTATCAAATGACTTTTAGAAAAAAAGATGTTGACATCCAATATAGATTAATATTGATTATCGAAAAGATGCTGTTCAAAAAACGCTATTTAATACTTTTCTTTGCATGAAACTATTCTAACTTTCAAATAAATGGATGGTTCATTTGAATATTTGGTGGTGTGCAGAGTTTTAATAAATATAATATTTCTACTTTGTCTTTCAATTTTTATTTCTGAATATTTCACTAAAGAATAAGTATGTTCCTTGAGCCCAAGAACAAAAAGTTGGTTTAAAATTTTTGTTTTGAAGAGAAACTTTGAGATACAGCAAAATAGTTTTAGGTCTTGACATAGTTTCAAATGTTGGTGATGTTTCCAAAAGTCACCAGTAGTTCCACTCCCCCATTTCCACCCTCACCGAGTCCTGAAATCCACTCATTCTTCTCTGGGCAACACAGTACCTACCTGAGGTTGAGAAATTGCTGTTTCCTTCAGCACTATCCACAATAGCGGTGGGAGAGGTGGAAGCAACCAAATTGCCCACGGATGAATGATAGATAAGCAAAACATGTTATTACATACAATGAGGTAATATTAGTCATCCTAAAAAAGAAGGAAAATCCGTCACATGCTACAACACAGATCAGTCTTGAGAACATTGCGCTCAGGGAAACAGACCAGTCACGAAAAGGCAAATGTTGTGTGATTCCATTTATATCAGGTACCTAGAGTAGCAAAGTCATAGAAACACAAAGTAGAATGGCGGTTGCCTGTAGCTAGAAGAGCAGTGAAGGGGGATTATTTAATGGGCACAGAGTTTCTGTTTTGCGACATGAAATGAGTTCTGCGGATGGATGTTGTGCTTGATGTACTTAAAAATGCCACTGAAATGTACACTTAAAAATTGTTAAGATGGAAATTGTATGTCATGGGTTTTATCACAATTATTAATAAATTAAAAATGTGTTATTATTTCCTCAGAAAGATTTTTAATTAGAAAAGTTGATTTTACTTTAAAATTTCCCATCGTGGGGAGATAGGAACAAAAATCTTCCTCTGTCTCCAAGTGCCTTAAAAATAACAGATGTCTCTATTTCTTCTTTACTGGCTTCAAAGTTGTTACCTAATTTTTCCTGTCAAAACCCGACTGGGTTTTAGAAGTACTCAGATTTCAGGCAGAAGGATTTTTAGAATTGAAATTTAGAAAGAATTCTGCTCTGTATTTCTTTAAAAGGTTTGGAGACTTGCCATTAGCCCCCACCCTCACTCACCTAGAGAAATGTAAATTCTCGTGAAATGTGACGCGTGATTAGTTTTTAGATAAAGAGAAAGGGACTTGGAAAGAAGGGAATAATGGTACGCGGTACAGACAGACACCAGAGCATCTTCCAGGATTCTCCCAGTTGCTCTGCATGTCTCTCGTGCCCAGCCAGTGCACTGTGAGCCGTTTGTGTTGTGTGGGTGTTTAAGGGAGAGTCAAAAATGAGTGAAATCTCAATTTTGAATACTCCCACGTGCAACATGTAATAATCTGACATTTAGTCCACTTCCTAACCTACTGCTGGTACAAACAGACGTTAGGCAGCTGAGTATATTTGTTCTGCACTGCAGTCTGTAGGCAGGAAGGCTGAAAGTGACCTTCATCAAAGTGTTTCTATGCTCCCTCCACTTGCTGCCCTCAGCCAGGGTCTTTCATAAGTCTAAATTTTATTTATGCAGGAAGGGCAATGGTTTCTCCACCTTCCAAATATACTGAGTATTTTACCTATGGATTAGTTCCTAGTTTGGGGGGATTTGAGTAGCCCTCCCAGGAAAGTTCCTAATAGTATGCAGTTTCACTCATTCGTGTAACAAATATTTATTATTTAATATAAACTAGGCATTGTCCCTTAACAATACTTGTCTATTTAATATAAGCCTTTAATATCTGAGATATTGGCCCTTTATTAATTAAGAGACTATCTTGAGAATGACTTTCTATACTTAAACCAAACAATGATCTTGACCACCAACTCAATGCTAGATATATAATGAGACATGTTTTTAAAAATTACACAGACTCGCCCTGACTAGTGTGGCTCAGTTGTTTGGGTGTTGTTCTGCAAAGCAAAAGGTTGCTGGTTCGATTCCCAGTCAGGGTGTATGTCTGGTTGCGGGTTGGGTCTTTGGTTGGGGCATATATGAGAAGCAACCGATCAATATTTCTATTTTAAATCAATGTTTCTCTCCCTTTTGTTCTCTCTGTCTTCCCTTTACTTTATAAATAGATAAATAATTTTTTTAATTGCATAGATTTTTGAGTCACTGGGAATAAAGAAACCAGCTATCTTCCAAGTGTGATACTTCCTAAAGTACATTTGGAAGGGCTGGTCCAAGCTTGCTCGCAGAAGTCTAACCTGGCCTTGAGCACTGACACCTATGACCCAGCTCTACCCCCAGGCAGGCACGTACAGGCCCCCAGACAGGAGCAACATGCAGACAACCTCCAGACTGGTCCTGCTGGGTGCTGGTGCCTCCAGGGCTGAGGTCGGTCCTGACTGATCAGCTGTTTTCTGGCCACCTGGCCTTGGCCTGCAGAGACTCTGTCTGCTCACCTTGCTTCTAGACCTGAGATCACCCCACAGGACAGGCCCCTTGGCTTCTTAGTATCCCCAGCCTGCTCCTGGCTTTGTGCCCTGCCTCCAGAGTCCACTGCTGCTCAATGCTATGCTTGACAGTTGTGACTAATAGGGGGCAGGTCATCCTTTCAGCTCCAGAACAATCTCCCATCTACCTCATTCCAGCCTATCTGACTCAAACCAAGGCATTTTCTTCCCAGCCCCAGCAACCCAGATCTTCCTTACAGTGTGAGTTTGCTTCCTAAAGTCTAAAAGCTAATAGAGAAAGAAGTTTCCTTCATATAATGGTAACAGATTTACTAGAAATTACTCTATAGTTTTAATCACCTTTCACTGTCTATGTTAGTGACACATTATTTAACCTCTCTGGAATTCACACTTAAAATGAGGGAGCTGAACTAACTCTGTACCTCCATCTCTCAGACTAAAACACTAGAATCAGAGTTAAAAGCACAATCTTTGGAGATATGCAGGTTCGTGTATGAGTCCAGATTTCTTACTTACTGACTGTGAATGATGCACAAGCAGCTTAACTTCTCAGTTAAATACAGAAAATATTTACCCCCTAGTATTGTTGTGATAATTAAATGAAATGATATATGTAAAATTCTTAGCACTTAGTATTAATCAATACAGTTATATATAATATACAAATACATGGTTGTATGTAAATACTTAGTGCTGACCTTTTTCTTGTACTTCAATTCGGAACATTCCCTTCAGCTCCATCTCAATCCTTGCATCTACCTCACATTAAAAATAATTAGTGAAAGCCCTGGCTCGTGTAGCTCAGTGGATTGAGCACGGGCCTGCAAACCAAAAGATCAGGGTTTGATTCCCAGTCAGAGCACATGCCTGGGTTGCAGGCCAGTTCCCAGCAGGGGATGCACCAGAATCAACCATACATTGATATTTCTCTCCTTCTCTCCTTCCCTTCCCTTCTAAAGATAAATAAATAAAATTTTTAAAAATTAGTAAATATTTCTATGTCCAAGTAATGTCTGCCTGAACCTTAATTTTGTTACGAGGGTCCAAAAATCTTAGTTGTTGAAATTATACTAGTCAAAATTATGGTTAAAATAATTGTGGTGCTGTTCTAACTTGAACGGATGGCTTGTTTTATTTTAAAGTAAAAGTTATCTTAGCAACTATCTTTAAACTGACTATAGTTAAAATTTTTTTAAAGAACTTTCAGTTTTTAATCAGAAAGCCAAAACAACTTGGAAAATTGTTTTCACACTGGGAAGAAACCACCAGAGGGGCCGGGTCTCCGCTAGTTTAGGGCCATGAGTTTGTGAACATGCTCTTGACAGCAGTCTTCAAGGAAGTGCACCAACAGTGAGGGGAACAAAGAGAATTTTGATCTTAGCATGATTCTAAGCCATAACTTCAACAATTAAGAAGTAACAGGTTCCACTCTTCCAGTCAGAGGCAAAGAAGTAAATACTGAAGCCAAAACTCTGAACGCAAGAAGTTCTGACATATATGACATTGAGCTATAATTCGGGGCCCCAGTGGGTCCTCTCTAGGCCTTCCATTGCTCATACAGAAGGCCAGGACAATCAGTCCTATCATAGAATAGCTATGATTAATATTAGTTAATAAAGGAAAGGTAGATCTATTGACAATAGTAAACATCAAGATGCTATAATCATTTGCGAAAATAAGATGGCTGAGATGCCTACCTCAATCAGGAGCTGCTCTCCTCTCTGAGGCAAGGCCACAGAACTGCTAGCATTTGGAAATAACAAACGTCCTGGAATTCATAGAAGGTCCAGGGCATAATTGCTCAATATGAGACAGATCAGGCAAGGTCACACTGTGAACAGAGGCTCTAGAAGTAAATGCTGACGTGCAGACAACAGGCTGTTCATGCATTCCTACTGTGGTCAACAGATCAATGGTCTCCCAGGGATATCCGTGCTTTACGAGGTAAAAGGGACATCACAGCTGTGATTACATTAAGGCTTTGAGGTGGGGAGATTCTCTTGGATTGTCCAGGTAAACTCAATGTAATGATGAAGGTCCTTATTTGGGAAAAGCAGGGAGTCAGGATGAGAGAAGGAGATACAAAGGCAGAAGGAGGGGATCAGAGGGTGAGAAACTTGAAGCTGCTCCACTGCTTGCTCTGAAGACAGAAAAGAGGGAACCACCTGGGAAATGCAGGAGGCCTCGGAACTGGGAAGGGCAAGGAGGTGGACTCTCCACTAGACTAGAAGGAATTCTCCACTAAAAAAAATGCAGCTTGATTTTAGCCTAGCAAAAGCTGTTTTGGACTTCTGGTTCCAGAACTGCAATATAATAAATTTGTGTTGTTGTAAGTCACTAAATCCGTGGTGATTTGTTGTAGCAACCTATGAAACTAATACACTTACTATATAAGGTCCGGCAAGAGTAAGGCCTGCTTGAGTGTGGTTGGCAGGATAATAATATGGGTATAATAATTTATAGTTTTAAACTGAACATTTCACCTAAAATATCATATGGTGTGCTTGAGTGTGATATTGTTATGTTACAGAATTACATGCCTATGATTTTGTAATAAGAGTTTATAATAAAAAAGGGGTGTTATTTGTGCCAGACCCATATACCAGTACTAAGTGCCAGAGAGTCAAAGATGAGAAGACACATTTTTCCTCTGGGTATTTGTTCAACAAATATTTATATATTGGTTGCTCAAAATTGCATGGTATCTAATATTTATTTATTAAGGGCCCATTATGTGTCAGAAAGGATGTTAGGTGCTTTGAGTGCATTTCTCTGACCCTCCTGCCCATACTATTATATACATTGCTAATATTTATTGAGCACCATGTGCTAGACACTGTCTCAAACACTTAACTTATATTATCATATTTAATACTTAAATTCTTTGATATAGATCACAATTATTCTTCCCCATTTTACATAAGAAGAAACAGCCTTAGGAAGGTTGAAAGTAGTTTCTCAGGGTCAAACTGCTAGAAAGTGATAAAAATTTAAATTGATCTACCTCCAGAGCCTGCTTTGCATTTTCCCCATTATGTAGATGAGTAAACTGAGGCTCAGAAAAGTTGAATTATTTACCAAAGCCAGACAGCAGATAAACGGTAGGGCCAAAACTGCTTCATCATCCACTGACTAGCTCTGACTTCCACTGCACACCTCTCCCACCTTTCCTGAGCCTTCCGACTCTAGTCCAGAACTTTTCAGGAAACAACGTGCCATGTAGTAACCAGATCCCTCCTAGCCTGATACTCAGTTGACCAGTTCTGATACAGAGATTTGGGGGCAGGGTATCCCAGGGTGGATGGCCCAAGTCCTCCTTGTTGTCTTCATCTCCTTTTAAACTGGGACTAGTTGAACTGCCCTGATAACGCTTTCCTCCTTTGGAGGAGAAGCCATTATTCTGATAAAGTCCCTTTTCCCCTTCTCCCTCCACTCTTGCCATAATCCCTTTAGGACCAAGAGTTCTCCATACAAAATTCTCCATGCAGGTCCTAGAAAGCTTTGGTTTTCAGAACTGGGAATATCCAGATTAACATAACCTCCAAACTGTGAATCTGCAAACACTCGTGGGGATTGAGGAGGAAGGAGGAAGGAGGAAGGAGGCTCAGCTGCTCCACTGCCTTCAACACCTTCACTCTCACCGTATCCTCACCTCTCCCTCCATGTGTCCTTGCTGGTGGACACGCAGCAGACCACAGAGCCAGCGCTTTGACCTAAGCTTCTTGGCTTTCCATGGGAAAAAACATGGGTTAAAGGAAAAGTAAAGAAAGACAATAAGGGATAAAAGGACTAAATAAATGCACATACCAATTTCTAAACATATCCGTTTCTACACTTCAAGTATCTGATTCTGGTAAGAAATGCAGTTTTGGAGAAGAAAAACAATAAGGTGCTCCAGACTAATTGGTTCAAACACATGCTAAGTACCTAAGAAATATTTTTTAATTGAACTGGTTTATTCAAAATAAAATGATGTGCTAGTCTGGCCTATTGTAATCTAGACACACCCCCTTTCCCCACCACCAGCCCCCTCTCAACAGGAGGGAGTCTGTCTAGTCCTTCAGTAGAGACATTTTCCTTATTGAAACCCAAACTCTGTTCTTGTCCAACCTCTCTCCCCCACACACACACCGCCCCTACCCGCCAGCTACCTTACTCCTTCCCCTTAGTTCTGGTTTACAGCTCGAGGGAAATGCCTGGTCCCTGACTGATCAAAGGAGAAAGCGGATGAGGACGATTACCCAAGGCTGTCCTCTCAGGGGTTCCTCCCTTGGCTCGGGAGCCCTTGGCCTGACTGCTCCAGGTGAGGCCCAGCTGAAGTCTGTGCCTTACAAAGTGGTAGCCAGGAATGTCCACAATAAAAACAGTCCCATAACCACAGAATGGCCTTGGGTCTTTGCAGGGTGAGCCCGCCCAGAAGTGGCGTCAGGCATAGGAAGGCTGCCTGAGTCTCAGCAGAGCACAAGGAGTAACACATGGAGGCCTGTTTCTCTCTCGAGTCGGTGACAGGGCAGCAGGTCCCCAGTGGCTTCCTTCACTGGTTGAAACATCTATAAAACTTTGATTATTTACTGCTTCTGAGAATTTCTAGGCCTCCTTATGTTTGAATGGCATGCGGAGTGCTGATTTTTCTCCTGGAACTGTCAAGACAGAACACCACTCTAAAATACACACTCTGAGTATGTCTTGCTCATGGTACCTGTGGAGCCCAGCAGGAACATGGTAAGAAGCCCATCACCAACCTTGACTGGTTTTTATGTAGCCTGGTAACAGCATTATGGTCACTGAATTGTTGTTAGTGTGTGCTGGGAAACAAGGCCAGTAATCTCATTGTTCTGCCTGTAACTGGTTTTGTTCCTTAGCTATCAAATCAGGGCAGATTCTTCAGATTCTCAAATGTCAGACAGCCAGCTGCCTCAAGATATGACAGGAATGTTTTTAAGGTTGGTTTCTCTCCATGACATCATTTCTCATTACTCGTTGATACATACCGTCCTGACCAGTCAGACTCGCCAGTTTTCTGCCCATGTTCATGACTCTCACTCATTGCCCCTTTGTCCTTTAGCACAAGTGGTATGTATTTCCACAGAATGCATTTTACTTTCTCTCTACCCATGCACATCCCTCTCATCTACGTCAATGTAGAACAGGGCACACTTTCAGAAACCCTGTTGGATTACTCCCACCCTACCCTGATTAGCCCTTGGTCATGTCTCTCTGTTCTTCTGTGTGCTGGATCCATTAGGTAAGTGGCCATGTTAGTCCATTGGAGCTTGAATTTATGTAATCCTGTGTATCCCCAGGGAAACTTGAAAAAGGGAGGAATCATCTCTTCTATTTCTTTCCTGTCACATCCCTGCCAAGACATTCATTAGTACTGCTTTCAGTTTTCAGTTAAGTTCTTAACAAATCATTTTTACTGGGTGTGCTCTTTTATACAGGCAGAGAGATGAGACCTCAGTTTTCCTCTTGACTCTGTCTCAAGCCACCTGAGTGGTATTAGCCAAGGCACTACACCTCCCTGACACTCGGCCTCTCAACAATAAAATAAAGAGGTGGCTGAATGATCTCTAAAGTCTCTTTCAACTGTGACAGGTGTGGCTCAGTTGGTTGGAGCATCGTCCCATAAACCTAAAGGTCACAGGTTTGATTCTTGGTCAGGGCACATGCCTGGGTTGCAGGTTCAGACTGCAGTCAGGTCATATGCAAGAAGCAACCAATTGATGTTTCTCACATCAATGTTTCTCTTTCCCTTGTTCCTGCCCTTCCCCTCTATCATAAATCATTAACCGTGTCTTCAGGTAAGGATCTAAATAAATAAATAAATAAAGTTCTCTTTTAGTTCTAAAGTTCTCTTTCTCTATGTCTATATATTTCTGTCTTGATGATGTTCCCTGCAACCTGAACAATCAGAAACACTCTGTGGGCAGTGCCTGGCTTTCTGAGAAGATTCACAGAGAATTTCTTGGTGTCCAGTTAACTGTCAACCATGGAAGTAAGCTGTCTTGTTGGGGCTGCAGCTCCAAATACTTTCTCCTCTCAGACTCACACAGAAGAATGCTGGATCCCCTACAGAAACCAACATGAGCTTTTTTCCTGTTTCTCTTTTGTGTCTCCTCAAATCACTCACCATCTTGGGAGCCCTCTCCATGTTTACTCAAAATATGCTTCTCTCATGTAAGATCCTAGTGATGCTGTTTCATCACTGATATTGGGTGAGGCAGTTACCTGCACAGGTAGAATGCTGCCCAGCAAAGTGGGTTCATGGGAAGCCCTGAGCATTTCATGAGCTTGGGTAAGTTGCTTAAACTCTGCCTCAGTCTCCTCATCTATAAAATGAGACTAATAATGGTACCCACTTTACAACATTCTCATGAGGGTTCAAGCAATTAGAACTGGGCCTGTTGCATAGTAAGTGGTCAGTAGGGGTTAGCTCTCATCATTATCATTATGACTATCATTATCATTATCATCATGGCGCTATATTAAACCAACTCCCAGAAGGGCTTTCCCTACATGAGGATGGAAGCTCAGACAGGGTGGAGAGGTGAGGTCACATTAGAGCCAGCTGTCTTGCCAGGAAGCAGAGAAGCCCAGGTGCCACATTGTAGTATTTTTAGCAGTGATAGTGAATCATGAGCATTTAATGTCAGAAAGACTTAAAATTGAAATAGCTTCTAACACCTCTCTAGTATTTTTAACACACTATTTTATCCAGGCATAACAAAAGAATAGTTTTAATTATATCTTGCTCTGTAAGGG